CTTTCGTGGATGCTCCTAAAACGGTGGGATTAAGCTGAGTTACGTGTTAAACGTTAAGAATGTTTCTATACCCTGCAGAATCCAGTTTTTCTCGGAGACAGAACGAGAAAAATGGGGTCCTCTTTGGCATCCAGCTCATTTTTCTAGAATGTGGAGTGCATGACGTGAAGACACAGGAAAATCAAATTGCATAATGACAAAGAGCCTCCTGGAGACCCTTAAACTTATGGGACATTTGGGGTGATGTCCGCTTTTATAGTTGCTTTTTACCCGAGATGTGACGGCAAGTATGTGGCTACTCAAAGGACTGTCTTACGAAAACGTCACTGTCTGAATGTGGCCCTTGAAAAGGATGCAAAGAGGGGCCGGCCGAGTGGCTCAGCTGGTTAAGAGCTCGCTCAAGAGTTTGAGCTCTGAGCAACAGCTGTTCAAGTCCCAGCCCGAGCTGAGCTGCCACTGAGCTGCCAACAGGCGGCAGGATGGCTCAGCTAAAAAAAAAAAATGCAAAGAGAGACATCATGCTCCCCCACAGTGAGGAGAGAATGCAACATTAAAAAGAAAGCTTAGTGCTGAAAATGACAATACAAATAGAAAAGTAACATTTTTGCTTAATTTTAAAAGAGAAATAAATACCTTCGTAACAATGTGGACAAAGTGGTGTCCGTGCAGGAGGGTAGAAATGCAAAACTAATATTAAGATACACCCGGAGACAGGCCTCCCCAGGCGATGGATGCTGCTGGGGTGACTTTGAACTTGCCATGTCTTTCATTCTCAGAGAATGAATTCTACGCGTTCGGTAGTTTAAATGGACCTGCCGACAGGGAATCTAGGCCAGTTCATCAGAACTGGAGAATTTTTTTTTCCCCCAGGAAAACCTGAATCAATTCAATACACATTGCCCGCACTGTACTATCCCAACAGTCCCTACTTGGTCACTGGCCTCCTGAGAATTCAGCTCATGACAGGAAATCTTGAAATGACACGTCAGCCTGCATCCTTTCCAAATTTCCCTTCCACCCCCATGTCAGACTCCTGACCCATTTTACCGGTTCTAGCTCTAGTTCTCCAACTGCATGTCGTTTGGGACATCACAACACTTTGTCTTACACACTCAGGGAAGACGTTGTCAAGGATGTTTCCGAAAGTTTGTGCGAGTGGCGTGTTTATCTCCGGTTTTCAAATCAACTGTGAGATACGTGGGTGGACGCTCACTAAATGGTGACTATGCCCTTTTCCAAAATGTTTTGAAGTGAGAGATGATGGAAAGGCAGCTGGGGTCACTTCCTACAAAATGTTTTTGGGGAAAGGGCGTTGACCTTGCTGTCACCGCTGCCCAAACCAAGCACTTACGTAGCAGCCACAGTACTTCTGGGGCCCTACCACTGTGTGTCAGGTAAGACCTCTGCCCCGAGTCCGAGTACCGCAGCTTCGCACAGGGAACTTTATCACAGGGCGACGCTCCCCCCGACTCACACCGCCTTGGTGAGCAAGGTGATACCGTCTCCAGCATGGCAAATACCCCATATAATGAAAACGCCAACACAACCAGTGTTCAATTCATGCCAAGTAACACGCATGCCAAGCAACGTTTACTGTTCACCTAAACCTATCTAATGTTGCAACTAACTTTGCAACGCACCAAACTTCACAGTGCCGTGCTCACTTGTTTGGGGAAACACTCTCCAGGTGAAGATGTATTATGTGCTTTTATATGGATGTAAAGACCTAAAGAAACATTTCCTGTTTTATACAGAGAGCATAGCTGCAATTTTGTGCTTGTGTTTAATCCAACAAGTATTTATTGGCTCCTGCAGAGGACCTGTTGGGCTGGACCAGGGGTCGGCAAACTGCGGCTCGCGAGCCACACGCGGCTCTCTTTGGGTACGTTCCGTCTCAAAAGTTTGCCGACCCCT